GAAGCTGCCACGTCGAGACGAATAACAAGCGAGGACCATCGACTCGGATCATCAGCTCTGAGGAAGATGAAGACGTCGAAACGTTAGCCGAAAATAAACATCATTATCAACCTCGTGTAAGCTCATCAAAGAAAGAATACATAAGTGAGGTTAGTGATAAGAGTGGAGAGTTCGTTGTAATTCCCTATCAGTTAGATGTTGAGATAACGAAAAAGCACGTTAAAGATGCTTCCCTTTATCGTCCATCGTCTGAGAAGGAATTTAAAAGTCAATACCGAAAGTTAAACAACGAATGGGTTAAAGTGGCAAGAGCGGCAGGGATAAAACCATCAGTTATCTCTCATCTCAAAATTGACTTACCAACATGTCTCGTCCAGTACTTACTTATCAAAACCCATAAGTAAGTATCCAGCGATGATCTCGTGTCTACCGATTCATCGTTATTTAAGGTTAGAGCTGTCATTAGCTGCGTAAACGGGCCGACGGATAGGATAACGTGGTTAATGACCCTAATACTTACTCAGTTGTTGAAGTACATTCCAGCTTATCTAACGAACACCCAAATGTTCCTGGATCGTCTACGTAACGGGCGACCCAACAGCGCGTACGTGGTGGAGTCCTTCGACGTCACTGCCCTCTATATGAACGTGTCGAATGACTCCGCTATGCAAGCCATAAACGAGCTCCTTATACAACACGAAGGAGCAATAAACATGTACGGCTTCTCGATTCAGCAGTTGATGACACTCTTAAAGGAGTGCCTAAACTGCTCAATCTTCAGATGGTCCGGGAGGTGTATTATGCACAAATAAGAGGGCTGGCAATGGGACAACGACTGGAACTAAGCCTTGCCATTGCATTCATGTCTAAGGTGGAAGCTCCAGTAATCGGTTATTAACAGTAGAGTAACCTCGGTCCGTTACTCTACTGTAGATATATAGATGACTGCTTGGTCATTTTTTCAACGCAAGAAGAAATCGACAGATGTTTCGAGTTGTTGAACACACAATCAGAGCATATTAAATTCACCCGAGAGATACCAAAAGAAGACTGGCTTCCATTTCTGAACGTGCAAATTAGTCTATCAGAAAACGGCTACATTACGAAGTGGTATCGAAAGCCAAGTAGTGAAAACATCCTAGTTCATTACCTCTCCTCTCATCCCTCTCACACGAAAAGGGCGCTTGTGAGAAACATGTATCGAACAGCTACCAGCGTGTGCACAGGAAGACAACAGAGAGAGGAGTCCCGGAACTTGGCGCGGCAAGTAGCCATTTTTAATGGCTACGAAACCGTAGCTCGAGATAGGTGTAGAGGAAACCACAGGTACCTCAACGATAACTCTAGCGACAACAAGGTCCCGTTTACACTGCCCTTCATTTCAAATGAAGTAAGTGCAGCTATAAAACGCTGTTTAAGAAGAGCCAGTCTAGACAATTCGGTAACGATAATCGAAATACCACCGAGTAATCTAAGGCACCAGCTAGTTCGTAACCGCCTATACGACCGTCTATGTGCAACGCAAAATTGCATAATTCGCCCCAATGGTAGAGACGGTGACTGCATGAGTTCGGGTACAGTCTATCTGATCTCTTGTAAAGCGTGCGGGGACGAATACGTTGACGAAACGGGTAGACCACTCTGCGTACGTATAAAAGAACACCTAGTCGGCAAACGTAAGCCAAGTACTCCACTAGGTACGCATAGCACGCAGAAACATAACGGAGAAGATTTTGAAGTAAGGGTTACGATCCTCGCGCAAGAATCGAGAACACAAGCGCGCAAAACTCTAGAGGCATTCTGGATAAATTCCAAGAATCCGAAAATGAACCGCAGGGAGGAATGTCTCGTTATCACGCGTGATATTGGGCAGTATATAAACCTGTTATTCTGATGGGAGGGGCACACTACGCTTCCATGTGAATTCTGTGCTGTCGGTCTTCACGCTACATACTCAGTGGAAGACTCATAGAAAGCGGTGAGTGTGCAGAGCTATGTAAATGTGATTGAAATCTTGGTTTGGCGTTTTCTCTGTTTGGTTATGTAGGTGTTTGGCCGAATGGATTGCTGTCATGTTGACTCTTCCAGGCTCTGAGGAAGGCGAAATGCGCCGAAACGTCAGCTTGTGCGTAAATAAAGAAATAAAGTAGCACCTCGTGCTTGCTGAACAGAAGTAAAAAGAATACATATATATATACATGTATATACATATATATACATATATGCATATATATATACATGTATATATACATAATACATTTATATATATATATATATATTTATACCTTGAATGTTCATAAACTTCCAAGTACACAGTATAATCTTGAGAATCTTGAATGGCCATGAGATAATGGAGCAGCACACTTCCGTAGCTACACTGGCGCTTTACTTCTCTGAAGAAAGATGTCGAGAAGCCTTGTTTTGACAAAGGAAAATTTTCCGTGGAAAAAATTCTTTCAAAAGCAGTGTTCTAAAATACCGCTTAAAATACTACGATCACTACGATTTTGGTAGTCGCTCGGTGGAACTCTAAAGGTTTGTATATTTATTTTTAAACCTTTCCATATTTTTATTAATTGAACTTTATTTATGATGGAAAAATTTACTTTTTCCGATGTCGGCCACTTTTCGTCAAGTACCTCACGAAGACCGTTATCACTACTATACCTGTTACCACTATGAATAAATTGAACATAGTGAGACTGAAACGTTAAGCAGCGCAAGAGAGTAGGATAGCGCTAGTGTTTTTCAAAGGATGGAGAAAACCTTAAAACCGTTTAACCCGCCGTGTTTTGCCCCTTGATAACTCACAGATGGTGTGCTGTGGCCCCTAAATTGAGTCTTATATGCAGGATAGCGAATAATCGTAGAAATGCTAAGTATGCTGATCGAAGAAGACATTTTTCTAAGCAAAATTATTGAAGAGGTAGAGAGAAGTCATGCAAGCATTTCGTGTAGAATTCGTGCAAAGCAATCGGTGTTTTCTCTTCTTAGAATCCACATGCTAACCGATCCAGCTACATGCTACGAAGTTCCAAGCATCTAAGTGCGTCGTTTTTGTGATTTCTTGAGACAGCAGCGAAGTGATGTAAAGATATCCTTTCTGTGTATGTCATTGGCCTGGTGATGGAACATTTGGCTGCAGGAAAAGAAAGTCACTGATGGCATCCATTGATGAGAATTATACCCAATATTGATCCTCAACGAGTCCCTAAAGCGAACAGAACTCACTGGTCTACTCTCGCACGCAACTAGTAAAAATGGATAATTTAGGCGAGCCCACTCGACTCGCTCGACGATCAACAAGAAAACAGATGATCACCTGTCACCTATATCACCTGTAGTCTCTTTGATAGTCGAGTGACTCGAGAGGGCGCCAGTAAATCTTCCATTTATCCCTGTCGCGTGCAAGAGTAGCCCAGTAGGTTCTGCTCGTTCTAAAGACTCGTCGAAAATCACATCTTTCTTCTAGGCTTTTTCTGAAGAACTCTAACCATCCAGTCGATGGTCTTCCTGCAGCTCGTTTAACACCCCGAAGAATCCAATCATTAACGGCTCTTGTCCATCGGTTGTCGCTTACACGGATTACGTGTCCGGTCCACCTTATTTTCGACTGTTTGGCGTACAGAACAGCATCTTTGGTTTTTCATCGACGATGTAGGTAGGAGCTTCGGATCCCTTTCTTACTTGTGCGAAACGGGATACTCCTAGCATCGCCCTTTCGACTGTGCGTTCGATAACGCTGAATGATCTTTCATCCTGCTTACGCAGCGACCAGGTTTCTGACGCATACGTTGGGGCAGGAGATACCGTTGATTCGAAAAGGAGGGCACGGAATCGGGTGCTTTCTGTTCTTTTCACTACATCCTCGATGCTCTTGAAAGCTCTCCAAGTCGATTGTTTCCTTCTGCTCAACCGTAGAGCTAAGTCGTTCGTCATGTTGATTTCCCGAGCTGGATAGGCATAACTGGAGCATTCGGAGATATTTGTTCTATTGAGCGTGAGTGGGGCATACGAAACCAATCCGTCCTTCATGAGCATCGTTTTTGTGAGATTTAGTCGTAGACCAATCTTTCCACAAGCTTTATCAAAGTCGGCAGCCATACGTTCCGCTTGGCTAATCATATCACTCAGTAGTTTTGAAATTACTTTCTGCTATTATTGGGTCATGCATAGTGTTATAAGGGCTGTGTTATCAGCAAAGCGAAGATGGTGTAACTGCCGACCACCGATTTTCACTCCCATGTTGTCCCACTCCAATGTTCGCATAACGTTCTCGGGAGTGGCTGTGAATAATTTTGGCGAGATGGTATGGCCTTGCCTAATCCCTCTTTTGACGTTAATGTTAATATCGTTGTAGAATGGTAATACCTCGGTGGTAAAATTTTTGAACAACTCACGAAAGGTCTTTATGTATTGAGTAGGGACTCCTTGACTATCAAGGGCTTTCATGACTGCTTCTATCTCAGCTGAGTCAAAGGCCTTCTTTAAATAGACGAAAGTGAGAGAGAGCGGTCTTTCGTACTCTCGCGATACTTCAGTGAGTCTTGTTATCGTGTGGATGTGGTCCATCGTACTAAATCCTTTTCGAAAACCTGCTTGCTTATATGCCTGTCCTTCGTCTAGTGTTCTGTCAATCCTGTTTAGGATGACTCGAGGAGAAAGTTTGTAGACCATAGACAACAAGTATATTGGGCGATAGTTGCCGATATCGTGTGGGTCACCCTTCTTGAACAATAACACGGTCTCGCTGGTCTTCCACTGAGTCGAGACCTTGCATTCAGACAGGTAACGTGTGAAGAGCCGAGCCAGTGTGTTTAGGAGAACTCACAGTAGGTTCCTCAGGTCTTCTGGTCTTATTTTGCGCGGACTTGATGCTGTTCGACTTTTCACCGGCGAAATCTCATATCGGATTTCGGAAGGGAGAACCGGTGTTACAACATATCCATCCTCTTTTATTTCATATGACGGAAGGCGGACGCGGTTATCGAAGAGATCCGAGTAGTATTCGTGAATGATTTTCTCCATTGCCATGCTGGACGCTGTAACTGTTCCGTATGGGTATCGGAGTGCAATCACCTTGGTCATGTGATTGATGAAGCTACTTAGTTTTGCGAATGCTTTTCCCAGTCTTTGCAGCTTCGACCATTACTGCTATTCCTTTCTTTTTAAGATCTTCTTTTATCGCCTGTCTGAATCGTTTTGCAAGTTCGGACCTTAGTTCCCGGTTGTCTGCGTCTCGTGCAATTAAACGCTGGCGTTTCATCTCGAGAGTTTCTGGGGACAAAAGTCTCTTTGTGACTTTTGAACTCTCAGCTTTCATAGCGCTGACGTGAAGATGTTGAATGAGCCGATCATATTCTTCGTCGATGTTATCGATAACGGCATCTTCCCAACAGCCGACTTAGCGGCTCTTTCTGCTTTTCTCGAAGAATGGAATCTTGTACGAAGGAAATGATGGTCCGATCCCGTCTAGAATTTTGGGACAACAGCGACATCAGTTAGGCAAATCCTTCTATTTACTATCATATGGTCTATTTCGTTATGGTACTCTCCATTAGGAGACTTCCACGTCCAGCGCTGAGGGTGGGACTTCTAGAATTGCGAGTTGCCGTGGATTGTCTTGGTCGGCATGATAAACTCAGACAGCCGCTCACCCCGTTCGTTCCACTCTAATCCGTGGGTCCCAATGTGACGTTTTTCAGACGTTCTTTTTGGTCCAATCTTGGCGTTGAAATCTCCATTGATGACCTTGAAGAATGTATGGTTTTCTCTGTAGAAGATGTTCAAGTCCATATAGAACGCTTCCACTTCTCCGTGATGCCTTGATGCCAGTGCGTTGACGACGAAGATTGTCAAAGCAGGTATTGACCCACGCCTTTTTAATCGTAAACGTCCTATCCGGGTTGTTAGTTGTTCGAATCAATCGATATTCATGGAGAAACTCTTGTTGACGAAAACGCCGACGCCGCCGACTCCTCTACTGTCGCATGTTCGGAGGAACAGTTCTTCTCCGGTGTCACAGACGGCGTTGAAAGGCTAACGTATCTTCGTCTCGAGCAGGCCGATGACGTTGTACCTTATCCTTCTTGTTTGCATGATCAAGTCTTCTATCGAGATGCCGAATCTGTAGCTCTTTCGGGGTCAGGGGAATGAGGCCTATTTCTTTTACTGTTTTTAGCTTTTGGTGACAGTTGATATTCTGTGATATCTGGGTCTCCATGATTACCGTGATATTTTTCTGGACGCATTTCTACTATAACGCTGAATGGGAACACTTGTTGTAACAGATGAAATAGATCTTTTTTATACGGCCCAAATTTTTGTTCATGCTACTACAGTTGATTTCGATTACAACGTTTATGTTTCGCTTGCTCTTCATTCTTTTCTCATGGCAGGTTTTTAAGGAAAATATTTGAAACTTAATACTTGAATGGCCGGTCCTCACTGGCTGTTCGGGCCCCAGTATAATCTTCATTTTTCGGAGATTTGTTGGTTAGGTCATTGCGATTCTCTGGCTTCTCGAAGTCAGCCTGATCGAAGTCTGCCCTACGTCTTCACCACTACATGCAGTCGCAGCTCTTGTGGATCAGAAGGGGATTTACCACCATGCCACTTTAAGACCGACGGTGGTGAATCTTGGCATTGGTTGGCTCTTAGCTATACTTCCCGATGGAAACGACGGACTCATTTTCAGCTTGGGAGACCCCACCAGGGAATGAACCCTCGTTGTACATTGCAGTCCAACACCCAGGAATACCTCCCAACCACGATGAGGCGGTAAACCGTTGGAAGCTCTTGAAGAATTAGAGATTTAGAGAATAGACTAACTTAAACACTTACAGCAAATAAACGGCTCTGAAGAAGGCGAAACTGCCGAAATGTCAGCTATTGTATCCTAGTAAATTCTATGATAACAATTTCGTATCTGCTTATTGAAGAAACACATCGAATTATCAGTCAATGCTGCGGTTAATAGTGGTTTAAAATTTAGTTGTTTTTGTACTTGTAGGGCAAACACGAGATTTTACTTTGTTTTTGAAATTTGAAACTGGAAGAAATTTTTATGTGAAGCATAACCACAAGGATGCTGATATATGATGGAAAATTGGATCTTCATTTGGGTTTCGAACAAACGTCTACCCTTTCTTGAGCCTCACGTACTGTCGCCATTTGGTGCTGTGATTGAAGAAGCAGTGAATTAGGTTGAACATTGTGATTTCGGCCACAGCTTCGGTTTAATTGGGTTCACTGTCTATTTGTGGACCCATGATCATTCTCGTTGATTGCTGATGGGGTGCATTAGGGTAGAAAAAATTGGCTAGCAAAAAGGTAAAGTTGAGATCTCGGTTGGTGCAGTGGATAACAAGTGAGCTCCTAAAAAAGGTTACCGAGGGTCCAAATCCTAAGTGAGGTTCCGAGTTTGGCTCATATCTTAACATCTTTCTGGTTAACTTAGATTAGTTCGAAAACTTGCGGGAAGAACGCAATGTTTGTCATTCGGATATCTCATCATTCTGAAAAAGGAGCATGGATTTTCATAGGTTATTGAAATTTTATTATTTTCTAGCTATTTTCAAAGCAACTCTTCTCAGGATAGCAGATATAAGCGAAAACACCTACGATGCTGGTAATCTAAAAGAGCAAGTATTGCAAATTTAAAAGGATGGCTTCATAGGACTTCGTGTCACCTAGTTCGGCACACTCTTCACACTCGTTCCATTGCCATTTTGCATAGCCCCGCACGAAACCAAACTCTTTGGGAACGCTGAACTGGCATGAATTAAGGTTCGAACCGGTGGCTATGCAGGAGTGCCGCCGTGAAATCAACGAATCGCTGGCAGCCAGCAACCGTTTCTCGATCACTGTAATGCGAAAGGAACAGCATAATCTCCGAAATCATTTTGAATCGTTGTGCAAGTGAGTGATCGATATGTTAGCTCTGTTTACATGGAAATAATTTTTTGTGATGTACAATATCGATACTACTGTACTATCGATAACCTTCACAGATTATTTGAAACTAATGACTACTTAGGGTGCGGTTAGAGCAGCAGCAGGGGGCGCCCTGCAATACACATGTGATCAATCCCCGCACGCCAGGCTCACCAAGCCTTCCATGTCTCCGAGTTCGGCAAATTGGTACCAAACTTGTCTAGGAGAATAGTAGCACTGGTTCGATACATAACTAGGTCGCCGAGAGTCATTGTAAATGTCAGATATGAATTCGGTCACCTCCAACGATGCTTAACGATGACGAATGCATGGCGCATCCCTCATGGATTGACTAACGCTAAGAGCTTTATTTTTTATTTATTAACTACTTAAACAGACTGTTTCTCATTTGGCTCTATTGAATCATCTGTAAGCTGCATCTGGCTTTGCGGTGATAATGATGAACGGGAAAAGTCTGTCAATGAGAGCACGAAATTGCTCTTTTGAAAACATGTCATCGAAAGCCCTTATACTTCCATACTTGATTTCGGTTCAGGGTTTTTCTTAACAGTCATACAGTAATACTCCTAATATGCCGGCGGACGATACGAGCTTGTATTTGCGGAGAGGTTATGAAGAATGATTCCCGTTTTTTAGACAACTCGGTGCGATGATCGAATGTGTTGAACCCGTGACACGAGGAGGATGTGGCGATAAAGCTGCCGTCACGATGCTTCGTTTTATTACTATTGGCTTCAGCAGGTAATTGTTCTGTCATCGTTTTCTGAAGACAAAGATGAAATGAATGCGAGAATGTGAAGCGTAGATCGACGTAAATGGGACAGAATTAAGGACAGCATGGTGGGAATGATCTAAACCACTGAGAGACATTTTCTTATATGGTGAGATCGTATTCTGCTTGGTGCAGTGTGTCAATCATTTATGATCCATCTTTAACTGCATAATAGGCTTTTGTAGCAATTCAATAATATGTCGAGAAGTGACATTTCACAACGATGTGAACACATGTAGGCTCTTTTCTATTCCTTTTCTTAAAGATATGCTCCGTAAAGGGCATTAGTGATACAATTCATTAAGCTTCGAGCAGCTTTATTCTCAATTGGGGATCTCCGACCAGTTGCCGGTGTCGTGCAAATCGCTACTGTCGCTACGACGTCGTATTCCGGAGCCACGACTAGTCATCAGTGGCAGTGGTAACTCGGAATCGCTGCCTCAGATGGACTCCTCTACCGAACTTCAAACTTTCAGTGTTGCACTTCTCTCTTTCTGTTTAGTTTTATCGTACTGAAGTAACTGCGCTAGCATAACTCATCGGCTATTTCGAATCTGTATTTATATTTGAATCGGAGCGCTATTTGGAAATCATATAAGAGTTTGATGTGTAAACAATTAGTAAAATTGGAATCTATATAGACTCTGACAAGCCATCGCAGTGTCAGTTGATGTTTTCTTGATTCTCCATACCACAGAGGATTTGTAATTTGGCAGACGAAATCATTCAACAGGGAAAATTTTGCGGCATATCACATGAACGTTATCGAGATGTCGACCTGTGGGAAAGAATTCTTCACTAAATAACTTATTAAGTGCTTGTCAAGGTTTTTTCTTCCAAATAGCGTTCGTAATGAGGCAGTCCTCAGTTCGTTGTGGATAGCCTCCTCTCCATTTCAAATCTACGCAACGATTGTGCTGTGGATGGCACTGTTCGTCTTCCAGAACTTGCAGAATTTCTTCTCAACTGTTTTATTTCAAGCCTGTACGGGACCTCCTGATTCTTTGTTATGTCAGTTGTGCTCGTTTTTTCCACATAGAGTTTTAAGTAAATGAGTTATATTCTTTTGCCTTTACGTGTCTGACATTTCCTAATTCCAGTGGGTAAACGGACATTAACAATTAAGGCAGAAATTTCGCTTTCAAACTATACTATAGCTCTTTACCTAACAATCGAATAGGGTATCGATTATTTTTGTCGGGATTTAACGAAAGTCTGGTTAAAACTACCGATGCGCTATGTGATGGCTGATATGACACCGAGTACGAGAGGATGCATTTCCCGCCCAAAGTAGATCATACTGGAGGCAGGAATCGATCGACACCTATCCTGTATAAAAGGACACTGCTGAATGAAGGAAGCCATTCCATTCGAGTGGTGCTCACTCCAATGGATTCGACTCAATGGATAACGATCACCCACATCGCGACAACGATTAGTTGTGATCATTGACTCGGATCAATCTGGCTCTAAAAAAGACGAATACATCGGAAAGCTAGCTGGATCAAACCGTCAACCTCGTGTTCGCTTAAGAATCGATAAAGGTATATATCGTAGCTCATAAGGGCACTTGTAACGGAGTTATGGAAGTCAATTCCAATTCACATTTGTTCAAAGGGTCGACGTCGCGCTGAGAGTAGATTAACTCCTCCGACAGATTGGTAGAAATCCTTTCTGGTGATCTTGAGATATTGGCCACTATTAATAGTGCAGCGGAGAGAAGTTGCGTAACTAGGGTAGTAGCTCCACTAGAGTTGCTTCACTATATTGGATTTGACTCGATGCGAGTACGAAGGGCGACCTCGCAAAGATAATGGCCACAGAGAATGGATTCGAATCGTTCCGACTTCAACCTCGCGCTAGCTTTTCGGTAAAGGATAGAAGCCACCTCTATTCTTCATTCGGTTCATGACGTACTATCAATTTGTCAATTACCTCGTTTTTCGAATTGCACCTATGCCTTCTGAAACCTTTTACGGATTTTAGTTTCTTCAAATTCTTCTGAAACCCATGTGCTTTTAATGTTGACCGTGGAAATTCTGTTTAAGGCCGTCTCCATTTTGATTGATGAGTGGTTTGCATGTGCAAATAAGGTGAGCAACCTAGTTTATCTACAAGGTATTGCCGAAGATTCACTAAATGGCGTAGCTCCCTAATTGTGAGAGGTCTTGTGCGATCATATATGTTTTTCTTCCCTTTCCACAAATAGGTGTTGAGGTGCTCTACAAGCACAATTTGTTGACTCTGCTCTTCGTCAGTGTCACTGAGGAAATTAGTAGATGATTTTGCCTCTTCAACCGGACTAATCTTCTTGGTTCTAATATGGAACTTTTTCCAGGCTAAGAGTTTTGCGCTTTTCACGGTTGCTATTGCATCCATATCTCTTCATGAAACGATTCCATCGGGCGCTGTTCTCGTATTCGCTAAGCTGACTGATAAATTATGAAAGCCAGTTAGGCAGTTATTTGCTGTACCCCTTTATAGAGATGGTAAAGTTGGAGGTTTTACTTTCATTGTTGGAAAATAGTCTTGATTTTCTTGATCTTGATGCAAATATCTCAGCATTATATACGAGTTATATTTCGCAACATACCCTGCCATTAAAAAGAAAAAGGTAGTAAAGCAAAGGGTTAAGATTGTGTTTATAACTAAGCCTCAGCTTAACTGGGTTCAATGCCGATTTGGACTCCCCAGATCAATCCCGTTGACAGGTGATTGCTGATGGCAAAAGATCAATAGAACTAGGTGAGAGAGAGGCAAGACGAAGGACCCGGATGGTGCGGTGGTGAAGTGCGCTACTCCCCGGAAAGGACAATAGCGCTCGTTCGTTCCCCACCGCATACGCCTGTGGTCCGGAGTTTTGCAAATATCTCAGCATTATATACGAGTTATATTTCGCAACATACCTTGCCATTAAAAAGAAAAAGGCAGTAAGTAAAAGGGTTAAGAGTCTTGATTTTCTTCAATTCGCTGACAACATTTAGCTCTAACATTATACAATAATACGACGACACTACTGCTTACTGGCTGGAATCATTGCTTTACGCTTTTCTCTTCCGTGTTTCCATACGTACTTTGGCCAGATATAAAATCGAGCCGCCGCTTCTATCCCTTCATAATGCTCCTTTCACGCATATCGGTATGATTTCCCTGGGATTTTGACTTTCTGATTGATTGATTTGGTGATTTTCTTTTCAACTCTATCAAGACAGCAGGAAACACAGAATGACGGAGGATGTCTCCAGCTATATTGTATGTCTATTTCTACCAAGAAAGTGATATATACCAGCATATGTATTCTTTCTTGATAAGCTTGCACGAGGTTGATAAATATATTTATTTTCGGCTAACGTTTCGACGTCTTCGTCTTCCTCAGAGCCGGTGATCCGAGTCGATGGTCCATGCTTGTTGTTCGTCTCGACGTTGCGTCTTCGCCTTCGTGTCGAGCCAGATCTTCCTCAGTGAGCCATCTTCTCGAATGAGGCATCCTCACTCAGTGATATTTATCAACCTCGTGCAAGCTTATCAAGAAAGAATACATATTGATTAGTCACACCGAGGTTTAGGGAAGGTCGGTTTCGAAATATACCAGCACACTTCTAAATTTCGGTGTCTGTGATGGCACTCATATAAAGTGAACGGCCGACCACCCGTAAATACCTCGTGGAATCAACAAGATTGAAGTAATAAAAAGTTTCTTTGCAAACTGAGAGATCGGTAGGTGACGACAAGCCACTGTGTCAGTCAAACATACATCCAGTCACATCAATGAACCCCAATAGGGTTGAACGCATAGCGTATCTCTTCGAGATGGATGCGATTCAAATACCTTTTATAGTCCCACAGCGAATGAACCCGCTTGCTGTGCAACTGATGTGTCATGACGACTGTTGATGCTGTGAGGGGACGTCTCTAATGTACTTGTACATCGATGTTCCGAATTTTTTGCAGTCTTCGGAAGGATCAACAAAGCAGCACTCATGTTTCACATAAAATTAGCACTTCTCCACACACTATTAGCACTATTAATATACGATTCGCCTTCATATTTCCATTGTTTATATAGTCGGAAATGAATACCTTCTCGGATTGTTAAACTAACATAAAGTTCAATGTTTTTCATCAATAAGCAGACACGAGGTTGTTAATATAGAATTTATTAGAACACAATTGCTGAAGTTTCGGCGGT